GATTGTGTGTTCATAAGATCACAAAAATGAAAAACTTTATTTTAAGTTGTTCTTAATCTAAGAGATTCCTCCTCTGTGAAGGAATGCATAAGTAATGTTTACTTCTGTCTATGAGTGCATCTTACAGTAGGCTGGACTATTGCTACTGGAAGAAAAGAAAGTTCATAATATGCCTTTTTTTCTTCTTCTTCTTCTGCAAATTGTCTACAAACTAACATTCTCTGCCTTGATTTTTTTTTCTTTGGGTAGGCAAACGGCGAAAGTCTTCTCCTAAACCTCTTATTCTGAGTGAAGCTAAAAAGCAGTTAATGATCTACAGACTACCTCAGGTCCTCCGACTGCACCTTAAACGATTCAGGTGAGTAAGATGCCTTGCAGTGCCTTGTGGTTGCAATGCTGATGTTTGTGGGGAAAGAATTGATGAGCGAGGGCCAGTAATTTCTTTCCCTCTCTGCAAGATGCACTTGTGTAAACATTTCACCCAAACCAAATATGCTGAATTCCAATCAGCTATTAATAGTCACTTAGCAGCAACTGGTCCTCGGTGCCTCTTCCATCCCCACCCTTGTGCAGCGCATTCAAGAGGAGGGATCCTGTGTGAGATGCACTTGTGTTTGCAGGTGGTCTGAACGCAATCACCGTGAGAAGATCGGGGTCCATGTCCTCTTTGACCAGGTATTAAACATGGAACCTTACTGCTGCGGGGACTCTCTCTCCTCTCTTGACAAAGAGACCTTTGTCTATGACCTCTCCGCCGTGGTGATGCATCACGGGAAAGGGTTTGGCTCAGGACACTACACAGCATATTGCTACAACACGGAGGGAGGTGCGTGTGCCTTATTACGGGGAAACAAATTCAAGCAGCTCATACTTTGTTCCGTAGACGTAGTATGTCGCAAAGCTTTACGATCACCGTTGGTTGGAATCCAGTTTCCTGGATATTCAGGAGTTGGTTTCCCAGAATATATTGCTTGCAGCATGCTTTATTTTTTTTTCCTTTGTACAAAGACCACAGCTTGCTGCTGTTTTCTTTGTAACCCTTTGGGATGCCTTTTATTGCTCGCCGTTAGCAGCATGAATGCTTATGCTATATAACTCGGTGGAGCTGCTCCAGCTGCGTGTCTTTTCTCGATATCTATGGGATGATGAGATAAACAGAAAATGTTTTGAAACTGGACAGGGGCTATTCATGAATAACATCCCGCGGGGTTTTTATGACTTTTCAGCAGCCTCTGCAGCTGAATTAGTGTCAGTTCTGCTCTCTGACTTGCAGAGAAAGAGGTACAAATTGGCTATCTCCAGGGAATTTTTATTTTCTTAGTGAAATTCTTATGCCAAAATATCCGATTGATTGAACTATGATTTTATATTTCTGAACTGTGTTAACAGCACAGAAATGCTGTAAATATTTCCCTTATTAGAAACCCCTTTCCAAAGTATCTATAGGGAAAAGGTAAACGTGCCTTTTCTCCTGCATAATTCTGTTTCTTAGTGGATAACTTGTATGAACAATTCCAAAATACAGTCAGAAGGAATGATGTCTCCCTTACTGATGTCGTCTTTCTCACTTTGATTCCTAGGTTTTTGGGTCCACTGCAATGACTCCAAACTGAATGTATGTAGTGTGGAGGAAGTTTGCAAAACGCAGGCCTACATTCTTTTTTACACTCAAAGAACAGTGCAGGGCAAAGCAGAAATCTCAGAAAAACAACTCCAAGCTCAGGTGCCGTCCAAGAACAGCGATAAGGACAGAAGACTGACCTTCCCGTGATGGGAAGCGCCATCACTCAATCAGCAGTCCCAGTTTTCTAAAACCATGGGTGTTCACAAAGAAGGCTCGCTGCAGGAACGTGTCACATCATGATGTTTGCCATCCAGGATCTGGAAAAGTCTATCAGGCCGTGCAGTTCTGTCGCATAAGATTGTAATGAGAATTTTGTTTTTAAAAGTGTTAAAATGTTCCCACAAAACAAAAAGAGAAAGTTTGATACTTAGTGTTACTAATCTCTTATCAAAAAGGAATTGATGGAGGCATGTAACAGTGAGTGCAACCAGGAAACAGAAGCATTCAACTAGCTTCCCAAAGCCCTCAGTCCCTAGTAATGCTGATAGACCTGCAGAGGGAACAGGTACAGTATCCTCCCCTTAATTGTCATTCTGTTTGTCGCTCAGATTGCCAGGGCCTGAATCGCTCTTTCACTCCCCATGTCTTTATTTGATGTTTTACAGATGTGCTGAGTAGACTTTGGTCTTTGAGGTCTTCATTTCTACTGAGGGAACAAAGCAACTAATTCTTAGGTTGCATGTTGCATTTGGAAGGCTACAAAAAAATCTGTATTTGTACTAAGCTTGATTTTTAGAACCATATGAGAAATATAGGTCCTAAGCTGACCATATATAGTCACTCAGCCTGCAGTTTGAAGTTTGGTTGATCACATTTCATATTTTAATCAAAACTAGATACATGACTGCAAAGAAATATGACCTCTTCCAACCCTGATGGGATTTCTTTAAGTTGTTGAAGGTGAAGCCCTCCAAAAGCGTGAGGTTCTTAAAAAAAAAAAAAAAAAAAAAAAAAAAAAAAAAAAAAAAAAATTGATTCACTTTTCAGGTGGAGAAGTTCTGAAATTGTTTCTCTCCCTCTTCTCCTTTTATTCTTGTCAGCATTTACCCTTCTGACATAAACTGACAACCCTGTATTATTGGTGGAGAGGTAAAGAGGTAAGTTACCCAAGTTCCTCTCTTTCCACTGCCACTACTGTAATTTCTAATTTCTTGCCATATGGGCAAATCAGGCTTTCTTCTCTGGCTGCTGTTAATCACCGCAAAAGCCGTGCAGAGTGAGTCCAGCGACCAACAGTGTCACACAGGTGTCCCCTGTGCAGGGGAAAAGAGGTTCTTATTTCCTGTGTGTTTGAGCAATGCGCTCTCTTTGAGCCTACACAAACTTTGGCAATCTTTTTGGCAATTAAATGTAATTTTGAAATCATATACTCTTTACTTTTGGAGAAGAGACCATTCGAAACGGTCCTTTGGGAATTTGGGAACTGGTGACAAATTTTGGTTTTATTTTTTGACGTGTAGCAGGGTTTGAAAGGATTTCATAAGAATATCTCTGTATTTACTAGGTGGTTTTATTTTTTGTGCAACCAGAAAATAAAACTAATAATGCAACAGGTCCAATGAAAATCCAGTAGAAGTAACTAGGACTCCATGGTGTGCAGGGGAAGCTGATTGGGGTTCAGCTTGCATGTCTCAAAAGGAAATTTGAAAGAAAAACAGTGTTTAACTATGCCTTTTTAGTTAACTCCGAGGTGGAAGGGAAAATGGGTGTTTTGCCCATGCATCTGTCCTTCCAGGCCTGCCCAACCTTTAAGAGGATTGTGTTTTTCTAAATGATGGTCGTGGTTTATTGTGGCAAACCGTAAGGAGCAGCAGTGGGTACCGCAGTGAGCCAAGCCTCCTCGCTACGAATGCTCATCTTCTGACTGAGTGTTTGGCATTAACATTTGAATTCAGGTAGAAATCCAGTTGTCACTTTGAACTGAGTAGGTTGCGGAGGGGACCGGAGAGCTGGGAATGCCATCGGCGCGTCGGATTTTCCACGCGGATTTCGTAGCATTTGCTCGTGACATCTTTTGACATTAGTGGCCTCTCCATTAGCCTAGTCGTGCTGAGGTGTGGAGATACTGCAGTCAGAAAAATGATTGCCCTGATAGGGAAGGAATTAATTATACTTCAAAGTAAACTTGCTTTTTCCAACACTGTGAGATTTCTGTAATATTTAGCTTTTATTTGGAAGCGATAGCGTATAGCATTTTTTATGCTGTTTGATTTATATTTGTCTACTGCAGGCTTCTTTATATAAGCATAGCCCAATGCTCTCTCCATGCTGGACACTGTTTTATAGTGTTCTGTTTGCCAGAAATTCTGATTGGAAGTTTACCTCAAGTCAATAAGATGAATATACTACTTGCAAATACAATGAAGCCCCCCTAAGTGAACGCCTGACAAAGGGCAGCCTGTAAGGCAAACTTTGTCCCTCCTTTAATAGAATGGCTTCGAATCCTGCTAATACACTGATGCATTTTTTAGAATCATTGCAGATTTAGGTGCTGTTTCTGCAAACACATAAGCACATGGTGTAATTTAGATGTAAGCGTGGATTTGAGTTGCAAGCAAAGTATCTGCATGATGAGAACCTTATTTTGCCTCAACTGAGAGCAGAACTTGTTTCTGTGTGTATAGCTGCAATTTCTCAGTTAAGGACTATTAAAACAGTCTAAATGCCCATTAAAAAAAAAAAAAGAAAAGAAGACAAACTTGCACAAGTTTACTCTGTACCAAGACTTGACTAAACTATTTGCAAAAGGTCCATGTTGCCATGTCCATGCATAACCAAACGTGCATGTTCTGGAGCTGCTTGTAGTGCTCATCCAGTGCCAGGGAACAGTGCACCAAATTGTCACCTTTGCTAATTCTCTCCAGTGCTGGGAGTCGGGTTCTTTTAATAAGGAGTCACTTGTTTTGGGAAGTGCTTAGAGCAAGCATGAGGTTCTCTCATTAAGATGAGAATCTTAATGAATACATTCATGGCCAGTATGATCATCTGCTGTAGTAGCTGGTAAATATTGTAGCCAACTTTACTCCACTAGCAAGTTAGTTGCATGGATTTGCCTTTGTGTCACCCTTTTGCTGCCTCCATTCCCAAGTTAAACTATGCATACTGCAAAAACAGTCTGTAAAACACTGGAAAAAAATGATTTTTGGTACTGTGTGGTGTCCCTAGCTCTGACCAAAGCAGTTCTCCAACCTTGGAGATGTCAGTGTGAGTCAGTAAATGGAGCACTCCAAACCATCCAGCTTTTCCAGGTGGCAGAACCACTCTGACTTCAGGACTTGCAGGCGTTTTTTGAGTGCAGGAACAAAGTTGGAAACAGTAAAAGCATTGTGTGTGTCCTATGGACTTGTCATCCAAGGTTATTTCTACTTTTAGAAGGCAAAGTTTCTAGCATAAATATTGTCTTGGCGGTAATTTAGATACCTTCTTATGGATTGTAAAGTCCTCAGGCCTGAATACATTTAATTATATCCCAGTGACAGAGATCAGTGAAACTTGTCGTGGTTACCAGATTACCCCGGGATAAGCTGCAGAAATTGACTCTGTGCTTTGCAGAACGAAAACTACGTAAGGAAGAAGAGGGGGAGGTTGCCATCCTTGTAGCATCCTTGCTGGTACAGCTTTGTAAACTAATTTTTTACAGTCCCCTGTATTTGGTGCCTTGTATGCAGTTACACTTTGCAAGGGACAGAAATGTCTAGGGAAAAAAAGTTTTTAGTTCCCATTGTGACTGAAGCTGCAGAAAGATCTACGTGTTTTCATAGGTGCTCTCAGTATCATTGACGTTTTTACATTTCATACTTATATGTGAACTGAAAAGTTTACCAGCAAGCTCAGAAACTACTTTTTTAGTGTTACGTGTGTGAAATCTCTGTATTTTTAATAATCCAATTAACAGTTTGTTCAAAGGCGGATTGGATTTGGCTTCTTAGATGTTCTTAGGCCACTCAGGCCCCTTCCAGTCAGGTCAGTAAAATGCCATCTGTCAAAGCAGGTACCTCGTGTAGAAGAGCCTGCACAGAGCAAGCAACAGAAACTCCAGCAGGCTTCTTGTTAGAGTAGCTGTAGCTTTGGAAAGGCCCTTCTGCTGTAAATCTAACGATAGTTGCTCATTTATGAAGTAAAAATCATGCTTCCCTTTACCATGGTAGTGTTTGCACAGATTTTCACCTAGCAGTGTGGTAAATACTTCCACGTGTGTAAGCAGGAACATGCCCTGATACGTTTAATACGAAACAGGTACAGCTGAAGCAGAGACGGCCTCCTTAAGCAAGAGTGAGGTGTACAATCCAAGCCCTCCAACTGGTTTGGGATCGGATAGGAAGGACCTAGGTAGGGAATGTATTGCCTGTGGGGATATAAAACCTCATTCAAGTGGGGTTTTTTTGGTGTCTATTACATTAATATTGATACCTGTTTATTGCAAATGGGAATGTGAAGCATTCCAGCAAGCTCTGAAATTTGTAAAACGACAGCACAGATCAAATGATCAAAAGCGACATATTTAGTTACCTGTACCAACTTGTGATTATTTGTCTTAGTTGATTTTAGGGGTAAGCCTTTAGGCCACTCCATCTGTTGTGCTTATTTTATTTTGTACATGTGTGTGTAAGGGTTCTGCTTGTTTTGAGGATAAATTTATATGGTGGGTCAGAATACTTTGAAAAGAGTTCCTAAACAAGTAGTCTGAAAAATGCGTTGCTTGCAATGTACATTTCCATAAGGAGAAAAAAAAAAGCCCAGTGGGCCCAAGACTGACTTTAACCACTGTTAACTATTTATTGTTTTGAAGCTTCTGCATGATACAGAACGCACTGCAGATCCAGCAGGCTGCTGTGCCTTTAGGGTTCCCCTTGAACCATACTACTGATTTTGTACAGGCTGGGGATAGGGAACGGGTTGGGAAGGACGGAACACCCAGGAAACAAAGCCGAGCAACCACAGCAAGAAGCTGTGATCTTAGATTAGGATCCTGCGTTTAGGACACAGGAAGCGTCTGATGAGGGGACCTTGTATTTCCATGGATTGTGTATTTTTCAGGCAGACACACACCACAGAACCCAAATGCAGTCTCATTAGCAGCAAGTTCCTAGGGGTTTGGGGCAAAAACTTCTCTGATCAGTAATTTCATACTGGCAAAACGAATGGTGCTCTTCCATTAAATATTACAGTTCCTAAGGAACAGTGTACAAAAATCTCAAGTGTTTTTAAAAGGAGCTACCTACTTAAAACCCACCACGTCATTGTAAATACTTTGTATAACAGGAGTAAGAAAGATACAGTTTACTTTACAAAGATTTGATCTGTATTATTTAGTCTTGACAACATACTTCCAGTAGAAGTGGCAGGAAGGAATTGGATCTTTCCATACTAACAGCGGGTGCTGGATCCTGAACTTGTCAAACTAGAACTTTGTGGAAATTTGGGGTAGAAAAAGCTTCCATTTGTTAACTACATTATCTCATTCTGTTCCTGCTTTACAGCCCCTTTCTGTAAGAGCTGCTCTTTATGGGACTGTGCAGCTTCTGAATGTTGCTCCTGCTCAAGAGGAACACGCACATTCCTTCAGCATGGGCAGAGCTAAGTGCCCGCTTGGCCTTATATCTTTACATAACCATATCCGTACTTTGGGGATAATTTGTAGCTGCAGCTGCGTTAGTAAAATTAAACCCATGCAGCACTTGTGGATAGACAAGGCTTAGGAATGTATTACAGTATGGGAAGCTTGAGGTATGCAGGTGAGTAATGCCTCAAATTCCACTCCAGAGTGCACCAAGTTAGGATAAACACCCGTGCAGCTCCAATTGCTGCAGTGTTTGGCCTGCAGAACTCAATGCCTCCGATACAGGAGTCACACTTCGTAACAAGCATCGTCTTCGCCCTCCTAGGACTTATGAAGTTACTTGGCCTGACCTTCCAGGCACCCATGCTTAGTGCTGCAAGGTGAAGCACAGGTTTCCACGTGGAAACAAGGTTTTCAGCAGATTGTCAGATGTGCTGACTACAGCAGCTTGCCCCTGGCAATGCAGAGCCCTTTGAAAACAGAACACATTTTTCTCCCACTTGAGCTTTGGCTAAGTAGTCACAAACTCCTTAAGCCACAACCTGCTCTATGTTTACCTAAGTGAGTAGTTTATAGGAAAGGAACAAGTGGATTTTTTTTAAAAGCCTGCCTTTCCTGTTTCCATAAAACAAACTTACTTTAAATACTCAGGATTGTTAAAATAGCTTCTCTGAGGGGAGTGTTGCCTCGACAAGCTTCCCTGCAATGTGACAGACCTGCGATTGCTGTTGAGGAAAACGCTGCTCCTGTAAATGCCTTGGAAGCTTCCCTGTTGACTCGAGTTAGAGCAGAATTAAAGCTAATCTTCAGCACTTTAAAAAGTTAATCCTGCTCTAAGTTGAGGCTGTTGGAAGGCTGCCGGGAGCAGAAGCTGGGCAGCACGCAAGCAGTTTTCCTGCAGCATGAAACCCCCTGCAGCCCTTGTGAAAGCAACAGCTCTGCTTTTTGGGTAAGCATCCCAGCTGGAGCCAGGCTGGGTTTCCTGATTTTCTTTTTTTCAAGCGACTTTTGTGGGGGCTTTAAGTCTGAACAGCCTCTAGTTTCTGTCTCAAGTTTCTGCTGCTTGCATCACTAACAACTTAAGCTGATGTATCCATGCTGTGTGCAGAAATGAGACTGCCTCAAGGACACTCCTAGGCAGCAGCAAGTGATGAGAGAGAATCCAATTAATTAACTGAATGTTTCTGGCAATGTGTCCAGCTGTCTCGTAGCTCAGCGCAAACGCACTTGAAGCGCTGCTCCTAATCGCAGGTTCAGCATTTTTTTTTAGTCAAGGTTTTTTAAGACAACATCCAGTAAGTCACCTATGGCAGCCTTATGTACTTAACTGCATGAACTGCCCCCTGCCTGAACCCAGGCCTCGAGAGATTAGTGTGTTCTAAATCAAAACCAAGATTAACTATAATAATGTCTTAATGTTCCATGTAATCCCCTCTTCCTGCAGAAAGCGTCTCTGCGTGACTTGAACAGTTCATACTTCAGAACTTAATTCCTTTACAGGCTGTTACGGCATCCGTTTGGAAAAGGGCATTCTTTAAATGGGTTTCCTATGTGGTAACGAAGCAAGGTCGCCCTTCGCTCAGGCAAGGGGGCAGTTTGAGGTCAGTGGAGGCAGTGCTCCTTCAGAATGTCTTAATCCTAAAAAGCTGTGCATAACTGTCCAAAGAATGTGAAGCCATGCTGCAGTCCTGCCCAAACGCTCGGGGCTGGGAGTTGGTCTGTGCTACAAATATTCTGTGCTAGAAACAGCATTTTCTGAAAGCCACAGCAGAACATGCCACAGATCACACGTCAGCCTCACCTGGTGCTCTCATGGTCCTCAAACAGCTTCATCACCAACAGCTGGACCATAAATTGATCCTGGCACACTGCAATTTCAGTCCAAGGCACTAAAATGCTATGCAACACCAACTGGCTTCTTCCTACTTCCAGCTGTAATTCCTTTACAGGAAGCGTTACCAGCTTTATCTTGTCCAAACGTTATTTGTGTACCTTTCTGGTGGTTAGAGTTTTACCTAGGGCTTTCTGCAGTTTTGTTTTCCCTTTGACTAAATAGCCAATGTGTCCTGCTTACACGCCAGGACTGGACTTGTTCCTTTCTCTTTCAGGTGTGAAATATAAATCATGTTTTTATGATTTTTTTTGTAAATCTTTGCTCTTTTTACACTTTGTTTTTGTAAGCTGAAGTTTCTTATTAAAAAACGAAAACAACATTCCACTGAGTTACGTCATTATTCCCCACACTTTAATTAAACAGGGAGGTGGCAGTACAGCAGCAAATCCCGTGCACGCGAGGACCTCACAGTCAGAAAACTCTTCCCGGGGCACCTCGTGGGATGAACAGGACGTGGATTCTCCCCGCTGTGCTCCAGAGCTTTTCTGCCCTGCGGAATCAGGGCTCTGGAGGGAGAAGAGCTGCTCCACGGCCAGCGGGAGCAGGCCCTGTCCCACGAGGGCATCGCTCGTGGCCCTTGCTGACAGGGTGCCAGCTCCTGCCTCGAGCTGCGACCCTCTCCGAGCTCTGCAATGAAACAGGCACCGCTGTATTTAGCGTTTTACCCCTTTGCCCTTTTGCTCTTTATTGGTGGCGGCTGCCGGACTCACCAGGGCGCTAAGTGCTGGGCTGCGGCGCCATCAGGTCGATGTCCGTGAGGTTCCGGGCCACCCACACGCCGGCGGCGAAGAGCCCCCGGTTGACGCGCAGGTTCCTGGGGGG